GATACTAACAATTGTTTATTTGTGTCCGAATTTTCGGCCCATACTAAACAAGGGCTACCTGCTCATAGCCATCCCTAATTTTGAGCTGATAGACTAGAGGAAGGTTACTAGTTTACATCAACCACCACTAACGTTTGTGTTACTTTTGTCTGACTACTGTCTGCATTAACAAATCGTCAGTATGAAACAGGTCACAAAATACTTTGGGGTGAAATTCTTCTCCTACACCAACCAAAACTAAAAGAAAGATACTTTTTTAGAAATTATGAAAGCAAATGGTCTCTCAGTAAACCGTGATGATGGCCGTAGCAGCATCAGCTGTATTTGTCAAGGTTCATACACTTGACCAGACTTGATCTTTACCTATATCCTGTCACCTGCTGACATCATTTCCGTCACATTTAATCGTTGTATCTTTTATCTTTGTAATTATATATATAAACCTTGTATTGCTTAGTACTGATCTTACTTGAAGAAGAGAGACCAATGTTCTGTCGAACCATGTAGTATGTTACACCATTATCAAAACTTTTCCTTATGCTCTTAAATCGTTGATTGCCTACCTATCTATTATTATAATGACACTTTGGTATATATTATTGTATATGTATACCCAACTTTAAGTAATTCGGTTATGAAATAAGATATTAAAAACTTATATGGGTTTTCTAATAATTTATACTAATTTCTTGTCAGATTAAGAGTTATTTCTGGCTAAGACATGATATAGATCTATATAGCAGAAAATAATTAGAATATATGATAGTTTAAGTAAGACAAGGCAAAATACTGGTATAAACTAATGTCAGTTACCTCTTTTAGCTCATTTCTATGTAAACAGAGCATTTGGTACCGATGTTGCATGTATAAGTTTAGAGTGTTGATAACACTCTGAGATATTCTTCATCACTCTTCTGAAAGAGCTGTTTCCAGGGCATCTTTAATGCCTGGAGTCAACTAACAGAATGAGACGTGGCTCCAAAGAATTTCCCATACCAACTTGATGGAGCTGAAAACCAATGAGATTGAAGGCCACTTCATTCGATATATTATCTTGTCTTCAACGAAAATTTCAATCAGTTTGGTAGACTAGAAGATGCCATCATCACCCACTGGCTAAAATAAGTACCAGTAATATATAGTATTAAGTGTAGCATTTTATACAGTATATATATATATATATATATATATCAATACATCCATCAATATTTATTCCTGCCAATATCGTATTTTGACTTCGCTATACGCGTTCCTGCATGAAAATGCGATTGAATCTGGTTTCATATTCTCTTCAAATGGGTGCATGCCTATTACCTTGCTATAAGGTGAAGCGTGGCTCGTCTAAAAACAACACTGTCGTTGTTGAACTGCACATGCTCTTGGCACCACTTCAGGTGATCTTTTTTGTACCTTGCTGATTCAATCTATACGACTGTTGCGATCCAGAATCGACTCATAGCGGTTGACGGTCTGTGTTGTGGATGATGATGACAAGGTATACGAGAAA